GCTGTAGGTCAGTAGGGGGTGAACTCAGGCATTGAAGAATCGTGTATAAAAAGATGCACTTCCTTACTTTGGGTCAGTGTGGTTTTTCTTGTCAGCCGGTGACAAATAAACCTCACTCAGGTCCAGAATTCTGGTGTTGTATGACTTTACTCCTTTTACAAATCATTTTATTTAACAATTGTGTTTTCATCTTGACTTTAGTCGTATTGAACACGTRTTTTCTTATAAACCAGCCRKTTTGACAGATATAGAGCTACGGTGTGGTAGTAGCAGAGAGTCATCCTCAACARTCAGGTAGGATTTCTGTCAAATGATCATTTTACTGTCCATCGGATGTTGACACAACAGATTTTTTTACAGCATTAAGTACAATATGTGTGCATGCTGTCAGGCTTTGTACACACACACATACACACCACAGAYTGTGAGGCGAAAGGAAATATTTCCCCACAGAGTGGAGCAATAATGTGCACAAATTTCCCAGCAGTCCATACAGTAGCTGCTGAAATATTTCAGTCTGATGGATGGACAGCCACTGCCAGGAGGTCTGTCATCACCAGGAACAAAGTTCAAGGCTATTTATAGGCTGATTGTGAAGTCATTGTGAGGGATTCTGTCACTTTGTGTTCTGGTAGCTGAGCCTTTTCTGGACAGTTTGTTTCCACAAATCACACAGGAGAAATGACACAGTGAGACTGCACGTTCAAAGTTGAACCAAAATGGCTAGAACACCATAATTTCTCAGCAATAAAATGGTTTTAGTCTAAAACTCTGGTATGAAAGGTGGTGCGTTCCTTCAATATGCATACTGGACCTGATTTTGTTTGATCAAATTTATAACTGTATTGTGGTGTGTTTTGTTTACCAATAAGGTGTAAACAGGTCAAGCACTGTGGTTACCCCTCCAGGCTGCTTTCGYTTTGAAATAAAACAAGATGCATCCTTTTCTCTGATTCAAACGTAGCAAAAGACCAGAGAAACGTCACCCGAGTGAACAGATCCTTCACAGTTTATTATAGCTGAATGCAGCTGCCGCCTTGCTCAAACGCTCCCTAATCAAGGGCTGTTTCCACTGACTTTTCACATCCCTGACCTTTACTCTGATCCATCTTAGCCGCCACACCTGTCGGCAAATTACAGTCAGCTCACAGGCTGTCACCGCCTCGCGACGAGGTATTTCTGAAGCTTCTGCTGCGCCTCCTTGGACTCTCCTCTCTGCGCCGAACATGACAGGTCTTACTTTGGTTGTTTAACTGTAGGATCACAGCTGCCTGCAGCCTGTAACAGATGAGCAGAACCATACAGACAGACGGGGGGGGGGAGAAGAAAGTCCAACCTCTTTCAAAGACGTTATCTTAAAACAATACAAAGGATCAAATCTAAACTTATGTTTGCAAAAAAAAAAAACACAATAGATTCCACATTTTTATTAAGCAGATGTGAAAACAAAACAGAAAAGCTGTGTGTGTGTCCATAGAGCAGGTGAGATGCACTTCAATGCCACCTCAGTTTGAGTACTCAGGTGTGTGTGTGTGTGTGTGTGTGTGTGTGTGTGTGTGTGTGTG